ACATCCTTCAGATCTTTGTAGAAAAAGCAAAATATCGTTTTCTCTTATACTTTCAGGAAGAACATCTTTGAATATTCTAATAAACTGCAGTGAAATCTTATGCAAGATATCTCCTAGCTCAAGGTAAATAGTTTCTATTATAACATCTTTCAAATCAGTTTGAGCACTATATATTGTCATATTTTTAGCAAATATTTACATTTCAAGCTGTCAAATTGTAGATTTACATTTGACTCTTTATTTTAAAATTATAGCTCAGGAGTATTCAGTGGAAGGACTGTAAATATTGATGGAATCACACGTTTGCTCTGTCAATGATCTGTGATGTTTGTTTATATTGCTACAATCTGAGTATCATTTTGAGTGCCTCTTTATTGGAAATTTTTTCAAATATAAAATTCATAATGTAAATATTATTTTGAAATTTTAGAGATAAAGAAACTGAGATGAACGTATGCTTGAAAGACACTCCATAGCTACACAGCAAGTAATGGCAGAGGTAAGAATCAAAGCATAGCTTTACTGAGGTGCTAAAGTTTCAGTTCCCTAAGTTGTACGTGGAGCTTCAAAGTAAACACTTAAAATTGATTGGTAAGCATAAAGTAATTACTGTTTTCTACTTTGTTTTTGAGTTGTAAAAACCTTCTGTATTTCTTTAATACTGTGTAGTCAAATGAGCATAAGTAGAAGTATAATATGGACACTAACAAGAGAAATATGAAGTATTTTAATATCTAAACACTTAGAATATGAATTGTATACTTATAAATAAGATTTTTATAAATAATGAAGATGTCATTCTTTACTAAGACAATGATTCCAAGATAGTATTAATAATCAAGTTGGTGTTAAAATAACACCAATCACAATAAGAATCAAACACCAAAGCAAAACTCGGAAGCCATTTGAAGGCATCCTGAAATAAAGAACAAAGGGGCAAAGGACACATTTATCGTGCAAGTAAGACAGCAGTCTGAAAGGTACACCAGTCATCCCTTCCTGTCCTTAGCAAAGAAATGAAAGTCCACATCAAGAAGGGGTTAGAGTAGGATCAATATGTTACTCTTCTTGGATTAAAATACAAATCATAAGATTTGTTTTTAGGTAAAGTCATAAGACCCTGTTGGGTTGTGTCAGGAAAATAAAGTAAAATAGAAAATGATGTTGAACAATTCTTATGATCAATATAATATTTTAAGCTAAGAAATCAATGATACGTTGTATCAGCTCTGGGTCATCATGATTTAATTCAATAATTAGCCTTTTCTGATTTCAGAAATACTGAAAAACTGATTGATAATTGTCAAGTAATCATTGGTTTCTATTGGTAGTATAGTGCGTTATGAGTTAGGCTGCTTGCTAACTACAAAGTCCTCAGTTTGAAGTAAACAGCCCTTCGGTGGGGAAAAGATGAGGCTTTCTGTTCCCATAAAGATTTATAGGTTTGGATATCCAAAGAAGTCTCTAAAATCCTATAACAAACATCCTATCAAGTAACAACATAAATCCAAACATTATCTAATAGGATTTTTTATAAAGATTGTTGTTGTGGCTATGTGCCCTCCAGTCAGTCCTGATTCATAGAGACACTACATCAACAGAATGAAACACTGCCCGCCTCTGTGACACCCTCAAAATGGCTCTTGTGTTTGAGCTCATTGTTGCCACCAATGGGTCAATCCATCTTGTGGAGGGGCTGCCTCCTTTTCTCTGCCCCCATTCTTTTGAAGTCCTTTGCCAGGCACTGCTAATTTGTCCAAAGGACCTGGCATCAAACCTTGCCATCCTCGCTTCTGTGGAGCATTCTGTCTGTACTTCTTTCAGGACAGATTTGTTTGGTATTTTAGGTACTTTCACGATTATTTGCCTGCACCTTAATCCAAATGTATCCATTCTAGTTTGGTCTTTGTTCCATGTCCAACGTTCACATGCACGTGAAGCAATTGAAATGCCTTCATCTTCTCAGTAATACCTTGCGTTTCAATGCTTTGAAGATGGCTTGGGCAGCAGATTTACTCAATGCGCTGCACTATTTGATCTCTTGACTACTGCTTTCAAAAGCTTTGCTTGTGGATCCAAGCAACCCTTGAAAACGTCCATCTCCTCTTCCTTTATCATGAAGGTCCAGTTGTGAAGATGTTGCTTGCCTTTACATTAAGTTGTAATTCTTATTGAAGGCTGCAATCCTTTCTCTTCAGCAGCAGGTGCTTGAAGTCCTCCTCATTTTCATCCAGCAAGAGTGTGTCCTCTGTATAGAGAGGGTTGTTCAAGTCTCCATCCAAACATGATGCTGTGTTTTTCTTCACATCATCGTTTACCTGATTATTTGTTCAGAGTACAGATTAAATAATAATTTGGGGAGGATAAAACCTGGCTGCATAATTTTCTTTATCTTTATCCTTGCACTATTCCCTTTTTCTGTTTGCACAACTGCTTTTTGCTCGATGCATAGATTCCACATTAGGCCAATTAAGTGTTCAGGAATTCCCATTCTTCTAAAAGCTGTGCATCGTATATTATGGTCCACATAATCAAATGCCTTTGAACAACGAATAAAACACAAGTAAATATCTTTCTTGTTTTTGAAAAAAAATAAGAAAAATAGAAATATCAAATGTCAACCTAAAAATGAACATGCAAATAATTGTGAAGGAGAAATATGTAAGTTTAGCTAATTGAAGCTGGCAATCAAATCAAGGGACTCTTTAAGGTGAATTTTCAAATAAAATTGTGACCAAATAACTTCGTGGGGAAATTGGAAATAAATTCACAACTGCTCTACTCATGTGCAGAGATTAGAATCTAAATATATGTAATTTTTAACAACTCTTATAAAATATGAAAGTAAAAATCTAGCCTCTAAAAATAAAAATCTATATAAATTGCATTCAGTGAACCAATACTTATTTTTTTTACATTTACAAAATAATCAAAACTCTTATTCATGGCTGCTATATTATTTGGACATACTGTCAGAAGAGATTAGTCTCTGGAGTAGGGCCTCATGCTAGGTAAAGCAGCAAGCAATAATAAAGAGGAAGCGCAATAAAAACGTAAATGTCTAGAAATGAGTGAATGCAACATGTGTACAAACATGCCTGATAGACTCAATGTCTGGATTGTAACAAGAGTTGGAAGAGTCCCCAACAAAGTGATCTTTTCATTAAAAAGATGAATTGACACAACGGTTGCATCGATAGGGTCAAACATGAGAGCCATATTGCGAATGGCACAAGACTGGGCAATGTGTGATTCTGTTGTACATAGTGTTGTTTTGAGTCAGAACTGACAGAAGCCGCCCATCAACAGCAATATACGCTTTGACATTCCCACCAGCTCTGAATGAGGTTGCATTAATATTGCCATGATACACAAATAACCTATATTAAGTCCATTCATTTTGTTGACAATTTTAACCTCCAAAATACTAATTTCACAAGCATAAGTGATAGAAATCTGTACAATGAGTATATAGCCTATATTTTATTTCATTACCTTGAAAAATGTAAAATACCAGTAATAAGGAAAAGAAAACAATTGGAAGGAACATAGTATTATATCCTACTTGCCAATACCAACCAGAAAAATTTAAATTACTTTGGTGTGAGACCATAGCATTATTTGTCTTTTTCTCTCTTACCCATAGCAAAGAACACAAAGATGGCTAATAATACCAGAATAACTGAATTCCTGCTTACACGATTCTCTGATGTTTGGGAATTCCGAGTTTTGCATGCCTTGCTATTTTTATTGATGTACTCGGCAACTCTGCTGGGGAATCTTGTCATTGTCACAGTAACCACCCTGGACCAGAGTCTCCAAACTCCCATGTATTTCTTCCTTAGGAATCTGTCTATCCTGGACATGTGCTATATTTCAGTGACTGTACCAAAGGCATTTATAGTCTTCCTGCTCGACAACAGGGTAATATCCATGTCTGGTTGTGCAGCTCAGATTTTTTGTGTGGTTTTGTTTGCTTTTTCAGAAATGCTTTTTCTCACCATGATGGCCTATGATCGGTATGTAGCTATCTGCCAGCCCCTCCACTACTCTGTGATCATGAACCATAGACTATGTGTCCAGATGACAGTGGTTTCCATAGTCAGTGGTGTCGTATACTCAGGATTCCACACGATCAACACATTTCAGTTGACCTTCTGTCAGTCGAATGTGGTTCTCTTGTTCTTCTGCGATATCCCTTCCCTTTTGAAGCTTTCTTGTTCTGACACGTTCAGCAACGTGATTGAAATTTTTGTCTCTGCA